TCCTTTCATTTGAACTGTTTTCTTTTTCTTGTATTTTTGTACTTATAGATTATATAAGCCTAGAGGTAAAATTAGACCTTTTAAAAGCATCTATATCTTTTTTTAAAAAAATACCTTAATATTTGCAACTGATAATTCATATTACTGAGAAAGATTATGAGGAAGAGCTGTGTTGGACTTAATATTAAACCAATTATCCTTAAACTTAGTAATCATATCAATAACAATAAAATAATTATTTAAAACAAACAAAACCATTCAGATTGGTCAAACTTTAAGCACTGAAGTTTCCAGTACTACTTTCATCTACTAATACTTTTAAATTCTGAAGAACACTGCACTCTTTTAAAAATCACATTTTAATTATATGATTAAGGAAATAAAACTATAAAAGTATTCAAACAAAAATTATGTCATAATGCAAAAAATGTATTTAAGCTACACATAAAAATAAGAGTGACAAGACAAAATTAACAAAAGAGAGGTGGGAGATAAGTTGGACTGGACTATGATGATTAACAGGATGCATTTGGTGTTTCCTTCCCCACTTAAATTCTATTTGATGAACTAGCAGAATAGTAACTATGTCTATATTATCTATTTATCTACACATCTGTATCTATACCCTCATCTGCTTATCTCTACATATTTTCTATGTGTACATCTATATATATTTCTACATTCATATCAATCTATATTACACATATATGAGTACAACTATAAGTGTACTGGGAAGCCTAAAGCATACTCAGAAACTGAGGCATTCCTGAAAGACAGGAAGCAGAGGAACCAGATATTAGGGGAAATCAAAGAGAGAGGAAACAAAAGTAAGAATACATTTTAGCAGGAGAATTTTATGAAACTTAAAATAACCCTGAGGAATTTCTAATTAAGATCAATAGGTCCAAGCTATAGTGTCACAGCTGTACAAATTAAGTTTGATTCAAGCACATAGGACATATGGCTACATTTTCCTTTCTCTTGCTTGCTTTCAGAATTTACCAGTGACCTTACTTTCTTCGCTTTTTCATAGCTGGGAAACCAATCCCAAGTGTTCCCTCACTTATAAATCATATCCTAACTTGATCTTTTTGCTTTCATACCAATAAATAAGATAATGAACATGAAACTTTTTTATAAATTGTCAAGTACAGTGAAAATGTTACTATTATTAACCTCTACCACTGCCTCCACCAACTGCCACCATCATCACCACCATCACAATCATCATCTACACCTTTTATTCAATTCGCCAGTTCTAGCGAGTTTTCTCTTATTGCCTGAGAGTGGAGCTTCTTTAAACTTTGATTGATTCTGACCTTCAGAATTTTGACCTCTGAACTATGTTTACTGCTTGGCCTTAACCTAGGATCAAAGACTCTCAGGTGTGAAAGGAACTCCTACAAGCCACCAACTGCTTCGGCCCTCTGCACATATGCTCCCAACAAATCCAGTCTGATGCAAAGCGCTCATAATTTCCCAAGGTAGGCTACTCCATCAATGAACATCTACAGGGATCAGAAAATACCTTGAAGCTCAGGAGATACTGCTTATAACCATCAAAATTCTCTGTTCTTTGTTTCTTACCATGAGATTTATGAGCTTGATGAGATCAAACAGGACCAGAGTAGGTTCCACAGGAAAGGGCTAAGGAGAATCTAGAGGTCTAACAACTAGTCACAGTCATGTTTGGTGAATTAAAATAAATTTTAAGTTTTTTGTGGTTTCCAGTTTAACCAAATGGCAGAAGTCATGCTCTAGCAGGAATACAGTGTGCCTGGAAACTCCTGTAAAAAAAAACTCTTTGGAAAATAAAGAGTATCCCAGTTGGAAGCCAGAATTGTTTTGATGAGAGGGAAAGAAATCCCAACACCCAAAGGTTTGATTATCAAGCTATTCCTTAATGTTCACTTTAAAATAATCTCTATTCAGAAGCCAGTATTAATTTGTTCTACTGGGATTATTTTTCAAATCTCTAAGTGTGTTGTTCTCTTTGTTACAGGTCTTATGTTTCTTCTGGGCCCAGATATCTTATATAAACCCTGAAAGCTTCCCCTGTATGAAGGGATTATGAAAGGCTTCCTTCTGTTTTTACATCACTAGGGAGTGTTAACAAAGTAATTCCAATTACTGGATGAAAGAGTCCCTTTTTTTGCCAGTGATAATGCATTTATTAAGGAGAAGTTCTTAACATGTTTTTGTTTTGTGGATGATTTTGGGGCGGGCGTCTATGAATTTTCTGATACCATATGCTAAATTTTGTCTCTAAGTGTGCTTTTCTCGGGAGAATATCCATAACTTTCATCCAATTCTAAAAGAATCTATGTCTCCAAATGTTAAGAATCACTGATTTAGAGAATGAATGTGTTGTGTGAATCTTTAAAATTGAAATTCTCTTATATTTTCTTATTGTGAATTCACAATGTATTTACACATGATAAGGAATATCATGTGTAAGGAATCAAATGTTTTTTTGAACCATTAAAAATCATTCACCATTTTCTTTTTATAGGAGGTCTTATACATTTAAGGGTATTTTCAATGTGTCTACAGAAACTCATTCTGATTCAATTAAATATGCATGTGGTGTTGCCCAGAGCCCTGAATGGAATCAGAGGGTTTTTCTCTGATCCCAGGTTTAGCATCAACTAACATATGACCTTGAGCAAATTCATCTTAACTTTCAGAGCTTTTATTCTCTCATATGGAGAACATGTTAATGAAAAGATCTGCTTGGTAGAGTCCCTAACACTGAATGATATATTTATGTGCAGATTTCAGCTCAAGATCTTTGGAAGGCCTAGACCTTTCCAGTGAGTGAAGGGCAATCTGTCAAATCTCATCAGGTGCTTATTTGATGAACAGTTGTCAAATACTATTATCTCATGATTTTCCAATTGGTATGGTTGGTTTTCACTCAGTTTTTCAACAAGTTGAAATAAAATGATTTGTTGTAATATTTTCCCTTAATCTTATTAGACAGTTGCCTGAGAAATTTGATGCCTTGTTTGTCTTAAAATTTTCCAAAGGTAGCTATGACTGCAGGATACAGACAAAGATAGATATGATAGTATCTTTGGAGCATTTCAGCTTAAACTGTCTGTAAAGTGGCAATACACCATTGTTATTGTGTATTTAACAACTGTTCAACTAGCTTCTGTCAGCTTTATATTCTTGACCACATTCAAACTAGTGGGTATAAAATATGGGGTTTATTATTTTTGAATGTTTTAAAGTGATCTCTCATAATATTTTAGCAAGAGTCAGCATGGTAGAATGCAAACTACGGGCCTATGAAGACAGTCCTAGGTTCCAGTCGGATTCTATCTTTAGATAGGCTTTGTAACCTTGTACTATTAGTTGGTCTTTCTGACCTTCAATCTTTTTCTTTTTCTTCTGGAAATATAGGAAGCATATAATAAATATTGGTCATTCATGTGTATCAACCTTGGAATGTTGTGCACTATGAAGATCGAAAAATAGATCCTTTTACAAATATAATCTTCAATGGGAAATGTGAAAAATAAAATGAAGCTCTCCATCTGGGTTTTGTTGCATTATCATGAACAACTTCGAAACATGCCTAGCACAAAAGACAGCTGTTGAGTTAATTATTATATCATGAGTATCTTGATATAACAATTGACTACAGACTTTCAAAGCCTTACTACCTCTATCATTTGGTATATTTGATATGTAGAAAACTGCCCCATCCCTGCAATGACACACAGTTCAGAATGACTATCTACTCAGGGAGGGGCCAGAGAGAGCTCCATTCAGTGTCATTGCTCTACCCTCCCCACCCTGTAAGACTAAGGCTTCTTCTGTTCCTTGATCAAATCCTGTGCTCACACTACTGCCAACCCTGTGTTGTGGTGTCTGCTATTTTATACCCTTATCAATACTTTATAACCATTGCAAATCTGACAGTTATAGAATAGGGATTTATGAATATTTAATAAGCATTATTATCATCTTACTTTTCCAAATCACAAATTGACAAGGCATTTCTTTAGTATAAGTAAAATGAGGCATACTTGACTGACTTTCAGTATTTTCAGGGAACAGGTTATTAATATCATTTTTTTTCAATATTTAATTGCCCTTGTTAATTTTTCCATTTGTTTATTTTGATCTGCTCCTTTAGAAACACATCATGCATGATTTAAAGGAGTGGCTGGAAGAGGTGGGTCACTGGGGTTGTACCCTGAAAGGGTGCATCTTCCCTGCAGGCCCTTCCTCTTGCTTTCCGAGGTTTTCTTTCTCTATACCCTTCAGCCACAATGCTCCATCTCATCTCAGGCCTAGAGCAATGGAATTGGCTGACCATGGACTGAACCTCTGAGACTGTGAGCCAAAATAAACTTCTCTTCCTTTACGTTGTTTTTGTCGTGTATTTTGGTCACAGTGATGAAAACCTAACCAACACAAATACTTTACGCTATTCAAAGTGTTCTACAATTCATTTTAAGTAATCCTTGATTTATGTTTTCTAATTGATAGGTAACAAAACCAAGCCTTAGAGAGTTTAAAGTACTCATATAAAAAAACAACACACAAGACAAATAATATAATAATAATCTACTTTACTGTAGTTATCATATTTCAGGCATTGTGATGAGGATCTTCCATCTAATTTCTCATTTAACCTTTGCTTCAGCCCCAGGAGGTAAATATAGTTCTACTATGACTTTTACTCTCATTTTACAAATGTTCAGAGCAATTTTAACTCAGGTATTCTGACTTAGATCCCTCACATAATTTTTAATTGTTTTATGATGCATTCTGCTTCCCAGAACATGTTTATTATGATTATTTCCTTCTTTGTTTTCTTCTCTCACCTCACTACCTTTCTTCTTCTTGTTGTCATTAATTCTGAGGGTAAAAACAAAATAAAAACAAAACCCCCTCAATTAAGCATTTCGTTTTGGCAACTCAGGTTTACCTCCAGGAACAGTATTAATTGGAACGAGGGTGAACAAAATCTTCCAACAACTTACTAGATCCAAAGCGGCTGCCAGAATGGATGCATCAGGTATTGTCCCTGGCTCACAGCAGTTTAACAGAAACTGGAAGCGTCTCATGCCTTGTCGGATTGCTCCAAGATTCACCACATTTTTGCTTTTTCCACCATCTTGGTTGGGAGAAAGATGGTCATCAAAACTATGGCAACCTATAGGAGTTGTGCCATTGCAAAGGAATAAAAGAGAATGCATCACAGATTTAAAAAGAGGTTTAGAGATGGCCTCAAAAACTTCTCTCCCACTCCTCCTCCCTTTCTCTGTACCCCTTAAATGCTTAGTTTCAGTTCATCCTGACTTGGGAATCAATGATGCATGGCATCTGAAAATCCAGAGTTTACCTAACTACTTGAATTGTAGGGTCTGATCACTTTGCTGCTGAGCATCTCTAATACTGATAAGAGTGCTTGGTATGTCTTAAATGGTCCTTCCTGTAATAAGCAGCATTTCCCCCATGAAGGTGATGGCAGAGCTGAGAACGTAGAAGACGTGCAATGAATTTGTTGTTTGTGTGGAAACAAAGCAAAACAAAAAACAAAACCAGTTGCTCTAATCAACCAAATATCTTCCCACAAACATAAGCCATTTGATCTCTTAAATAATTTTAGTGAATATGAAGACAAAAGAAGCTCTCTGAATGTCATCTCAATTCTAGCAAATGTTCACCAGACATGTTTTTTATTTGTTGAAAAAAATTTCTTTAGATTTTAAGAAAATTGTGTTCTATATGTGAATTGTGAATGTCATCTCAATCTCTGAATGTCATCTCAATTCTAGTAAATGTTCACCAGACATGTTTTTTATTTGTTGAAAGAAATAACAAGGCAACCTGTTTCAGATATTACTCTTTTGCTTTCTAGATAGGCAGAAAGAAACTGAGAGTTACAGAAAGAAACTGGAGTTACTTGTACTACGAGAGTTCAATAAATAAATCTGAAACAGGTTGCCTTGTTAAGTTATAAACTCCCCCTCAGTGGAAGTATGCAGAGGGTGGCTGGACACCTGTGAGGGATGTAATTAGAATAAAATTAAAATTAAAAAAGAAAATTCTATTGGCAATTTATCTCAACTAAATGAATTTCAAGTACTACATTTAAATTGAGGATAAGAATGTTTGACATTTGTTTTCTTTAATGGTTAATAAAAAAACAAAACAAAGAAATTATGTGGTTAAAATAATAAATGAGAAAAGGACAATACATCTCAAATGGATGCATAGGGATTGTTTATATGCCTAGATTTGGAAGAAAGGAAGGAAAGAAGGAAGGGAACAGAGTAGGAAGGAAGGGAGGGAGGGCAGACTTAGAGGGAAAGATGTTCACATGGATAAGATTGTTGAAAAATACAATGTTCTTAGATTAGCAGATAATGTTGTTTTGGTTCATTTAGAACAGCTGGAGTTACTTGTACTAGGAGAGTCCAAAGAAATTATCTCATAGAATATCTTTTTTTTTTAAATTTTTAACAAGCCAGAGATCATAGACAAGAAGCAGTGATGTATAAGCTATATTCCTTTGCCAGTCAAAAGCACATAAATTATGCTAGTTAGGAATCTCAGATATTACTCTTTTGCTTTCCAGACAGGCAGAAAGAAACTGTGTTTCAGATATGTACATTGTTACTAGTCATACAAATCAAGTTGAAGGATAAATATATTTTCAGAAGGTAAGGAAAATTTTCCTAACAGTTAAAGTTGTTTAGCTCTGAACAGGTTGCCCTGTTAAGTTATAAATTTCCCCTCATTGGAAGTGTGCAGAGGGTGGTTGGCCACCTGTCAGGGATGTCCATGAGCAGGATTCCCATGTAAGTAATGTGACGATAAAAGTTTCTCTAAGATTTTAATAAGGAATAGAGCAGCAGAAGAATCTCTGTCTTATTCTTCACAAACTCAGTGCCCACAGGGAGTGAGGAATATAGCAAGGCTTCTATAAATGTCTTTTCAACCAAATTGATAGAGAAGCTACACATAGTAGTAAAATACATGTGAAAGAAGCAAACGAATGAAAAGCCATTGGTAATAGAAAATGACCATTTAAAAAAAACAATTTCAAATAAAGAATTTCAGAAGTTAAAATTGAAAAGAAAATGAACCATTTTATTTAAACAAATTTTTTATTCTATGTGATGAAAGCTGAATGGAATTCTTAGGCTGCATGACATTTACCAAGACGTTTGAAGAAATTATCCTCCTCTTCTCTTCCATTTTCCATTCCACTTCCTGGCCCACTTTCTGAAAGCTTTACAGCACTGGTGAATTTGACCTGAGAAGAAAAGGAAAGTAGTCCAACAACCAAATTCATTGGCAAATTTCTGGGTTAAACTAATCCTTGATTTTTAAACATTGGTTGTTTAGAATATGAAGATTGCTCCCTTCTCTGACTTCCATGTATAGTTTTGTCACTATAGTTTATTGCTATATACCAAAAAAGATATCACTGAAACTGCTTGTCGAAGGGAGATTCCAGGTCAGAGATAGAAATCTGAATAATTGGGCACCTTGAAAATAACCTGGTAAACACCTCAGATACTCTTAGAATTAAATTCTGATGAAGTGAAAATTCAAATTCATGAAAAGTAGCACAAATTCATCTTTTACAAACACCACCAGAGTTGAAAATCAGACCAAAGTGAAAAATAGTGAAATAAAATACTTCAAAATTTTAAATAAATTTAAAGAGTTCACTCTAATGAATATGCAATATATTTCACTTTCTAAGCATGAAAATCTGTTCTTGATCTTGTCTATAAACTGAGTCCTCAAAATTTTGAGCCTACAAAGAAAGCTGTGGGCCATCCAGACTCCCAAATATTTGGCCATTTTTTTTCTTAGCAAAAATAGTGTAAAATAAGAAATGTAAATGTATTTCCTCAATGTTTTGTAATCTTGCTATATTCTTTTTATAATTTTAATATATCACTTCTAAAACACTAAATAGGAGAAACAGGTTTTAGTGAGATTTAAAAAAAGAAAGAATGTAAGAAAATACTTGGTAAATAAAGGAAAGGTAACTCATCATATACTGATAAGCAGGTATGCAAGTTTCTTGGATATGAATAATCCACAGGGAAGACTCTCCTAAAAATCAATTTCACTGAGAGTCATTCCAAGTCAAAAGCTACTATAATGTGCAACAGTAGTATGAAGAAACAGTGAGAAAAGGCACCCTGACTATCTTTTGCAACAGAGAGAATGGTCAAGATCGTCCCAAAGGTAGTGGAAGGGGAATGAATGGTGTGCACGTGCATGTGTATGTATTTGATAAATGCAAGGAATCACTATAGAGTTACTGCCTCCCTGGAAATGAACTTGGGATGCCAAAAACATCAGATGTGTTTAAATTTAAAACAGCTGGGAAATGATGCCTATCTACATCTCTATATCTGCATTATCATTTTATATAATTCTTGCTGCACTTTCCCTTTTTTCTCTTCCTAGAATAGTCTACTACCTAAACATTTAAATTTTTCATTGCTCATTAAAATTTCCAAAATTGATTCAATAGTCCCTTAACTCTTCCTTATCTGGTCCCTCCAGGTGTTTAGCATTTCTTAGCCCTGACATTTTTCTATCATTTTGTGACTCCAGTTTTCACTTACACAAGTAACGTCCTGTTTACCTTGGAGCTTTGCCTGATGAAAGACAGGCGGTCCACAGAGCTGATGTCCAGGAGGTCCTCCACACCATCTGCCAGGCCCGAGAGGGAGGATCGTTTCAGCCAGTTTCCTATTTAATAATTTTTTTTAAAAAAAGATTAGACTGTTACAGCATTTGCTCTCAAATGGATTAAGCAGAAATGCCAGCATGTGCTCAACAAGCAATGAAGTTACATGGCTTTGATATAAATAGAAGCAAAACAAGTTGTTTCCAGTGTGTGTGCTTTGAATCAAAATGTTCAGTGTTGGACTATAAAATTACATAAGCAGGCAAGAACAGGACAAAAAGAACCTGGTCTTCTCCAGTGAATGAAATCATAATCCATCCACTTGTCCCTGACAAATTTCACATCTCTCTTTAAAGCCTATTCATTTTACCTCCTAAATACCTCTCCAATCTGCCCACTTCTCTCTGTCTACTTAAAGTAGTCACCCAGCCCAAGTGTCCATTTACTTACACCTAGACTACTAGGCAGCTCTCCATCTGGTCTCTTCTAATGTTCCCTCCAGGATGATTTCCATGCTGTGATCTTTTAGAAAATGTTTAGATGCTTGTGTTACTCTCTTGCTCAACAACCCACTTGGTTATCCAGACTCCAGGATGAAGAGCCAACCTAACCTGCAAGGTGCCATGTTTCCTGGTCCCATTTCGAGGCAGCTATTCTTCCCTTGTTTCAGTTCCTCAATTCCCTTCATCCTATTATTTTTGCACATAGTATCACTTCTTCTTTAAGTATTCTATAGATCTTGATGTCACTGCCTCTAGTCTTCCCTTCCTCCTGCCTCCTCTCTTCATTTTGGTCAGGTCTCATTGCTGCAGGCTTTCATAGAGCCATGTATATTTGCTTCATAAAATTCATAGTTTGCAGCTATACTTAGTTGAATCGTTATCTGCTTTAGTGACAGTGGCTCTTGTCTGATAGCAAGTTCAGCTGTCAGAGGAATGTGTGTTTTGCTTACTATCTAATCGCTGATACCCAGAATAGTGTTTGCACACAGTATAGGCACATAGTAGGGACTTGAAAAATAACTGCAGAAAAATATAAGAGTGATTTGGTGAATGAATGGAAGAAGCAGTAAGCCTGGGCCTTGGGAGCTGACACCTTTCCTTTTCTGTACCCCACCATGCACTGCTCTGTTTTGATGGTAAGTTGATTTGATGACATGGTAGGTAACAAGAGAATCCATAAGTAAATACAGACATACTTTTACCTATGGGGAGTTTAAGCTTCTTCCGGAGGGAAATTCTGCGGGACCGTGAGCGGGCACGCCTGTCGGAGGTGTTCCCTGAGTGGGCAGTGGTGCATTCTGAGGTGTCCTGCTCAGACTGGCTGCTGGTGTCACTTGCTGCACTCTGTGATTTGAACATCTTGCGCCAGAAATCTTTCCGCCCCAGGTTGCCCCCTTGCATTTGTTCATCGCTGTAAGCAAGCAGAGGATAGGGTTAAATGCCTGGCAGCGCATGTGAAATTCTCCTAAATTACTTTCAACCTCTTGCTGATGATATTTAGGCAAATTATGCAGAAAGATCTTTGACAGGCTGGGTGTGGGAAGAATGGGAGTCAGAATGGGAGGAGGCCCAAGGTTCACTCTGAGCTCTTCTTGAAAACAGTCATGTCTCAGTTATCAGGTGGAGGTGGTCATTTTCTTCTAACCTTAATAAAAAAGACTAAATATTATTGCAGGTATTCACCTGCAGTGTGAGTCATAATAGAAGAAGCACTTAAAATGTCAGTAAACATTTAGCTTTTTAAACTCCCTGGGGCTTCTGCAGTACGGTTCTTCACTCCCCAATCCTTACACCTGACACTAGTTGAACTCACAAAATATATTTATGTGATTGAGTGAACAAATGAAGAAAGTATGATCACCATACCCAGGAGATACATTATCCTACTATCAATAAGTCAAAAAGACATAGTTAGAGTTTAAAAGTAAAAAATAAGCCCAACTCAGTAGGACATCTGCAAGGAGAATTTTGATTAGGACAAGTGGCCAATAATATGCAGAGTTTAATCTCAGCAGGATTAATAATAATAATAATAATAATAATAATAATAAAGCCAGCTGAAATGAAATTTCTATTTTCACTTACCAAATTGGCTTAGAATAGGGATAGGGGAGAGAAAGTTATGGTTACTATCATATACTGCCAGTGGTAAGGTAAGAATGGCTACATATTTCTGGAAGATAACTTGGTAATATGCTTTTCAAAACCTATATCCACACCTTTGACAGAGAGAAATTCAGTTTCCAGGAAGTAATCCCACGGAAATAATGGAACAGCATACTTAGTTGAAGATACACTATTGGTCAACATTTAAAAAGTGGAAACAATATAAATGATTAGCTGTAGAGAAACAGTTGAATAAATTATGAGACTTTCCTATTGTGATATTCTCTTTAGTCATTAAAATATTAATTTAGAAGATTACTGCTATGGGCAATGTATGTGATACCTTGTGAAGTTCAAAGGCAGTTACTGAATGGCTTATCCATGAAAACACCTTCATAATGTAAAATTATGAGTTTGAATTTAAAAAACTAGGACAATGCACTCATTATCATTAAAGTTATTCTTACGTAGAATTCCTTAATAAATTAACTAAACTTTTTTATTTTCTCCAAAGATTGTTTTTCTAATTATTATAACCACAAAGTGCTTGATTTAAAAATTAATATATCATAAGTGATAACTAAAAGCATAAAATTATAAATAGAAAAATAACAGGATAATATACATCTGGGTATGAGTTTGTGTGTAAGCACACTCAAAAACATACCCAATATAATGCACCAAAAATTTTGTTATCTTTCGTTGGTGGTATTTTGATTTTAAGTTATTTTTTTCTTTTTTTAATATTTATTTTTTAGTTATAGGTGGACACAATATTTTATTTTATGTGGTGCTAAGGATGGAACCCAAGTGCCTCATTATGCAAGGCGAGCGCTCTACCTCTGAGCCACAACCCCAACCCTTAAACTACTTTTTCTTGATGCTTTTTTGTGTTTTCCACATCTGTCATCATGAGCAGCATGCATTACTTTAGTAGTTCAGAAAGAAAAGGTTATAGAAAAATTCTAACAACATGATGAAATTTATTTATGGGGTTTTAATAATTATTTGCTTATAAGCTTTGAGGCTGAATCCCAAATTGAACTCAACTTTGACAATATTGTAAAGCATTCATTTTCTGGAGCTATTTACATGAAAATTCAGATTTTATCTTTCCAAATGTCGTCAGCGTACTAAATACTTTTAAATTCTTATTCTAAACTCTTATAATCTGTTTATCAAATATGGTATGCATTTAAACTGGTTTTCTAGAATTGGACCTCTTGGCTACTGTTGTATTTTGGGAGGATGAGGGTACAACGATGAGTGTGTCACTACATGGTCTGAGTGGGAGAACATCCAGGGAGGCTGTCATTTGTCCTCCTTCTCAAGAAAATGCTACATCAGCTTTGTTCAGAGAAAAATAGGCACATAAAACCCACTTTCTGTACTAATCAGTTAATGAGACTATTATTTAAGGAAGAAGAAGATGAGTCAGGTCAAGAAGGATTGGTAAAAAAAGAGAAACAGAGGATGGAGGAGGAGTCAGGATCATCCAGAGTAAGCGCTCACCTTCTCCCCAGCTAAACAGAGGAAGTCTGGCATGCTCACTCCTGGGCCACCTTGAGTCACAGACAAATTCCACACTTAATACTTTATGACATTCCTCCAAAGTGAAATGTTTATGTAGAGGCATATTAAAACATGTGTCTTCATTCAAGAAGAAAGAACAGACATGTTTTAAATGCTGAGAAATTGGGTGGTATTCACAAAGGAACAAAGAGAATATTTTGGAATCTAAAAAATGTAATCACATCTAAATGGAGATGGTTTTATTTTTAAAATCCAATGTACCTTTAAGATCATTCTCATTGATCAGATTAGCTCAATAGTTACGGGTGTTATTTGGGGACAAAAATCTTCTGTCTGCTTTGGGGCAGATTTTCTATGGATAGGGGTTATAAACTAGATATTCATCCATGGAACATCTCATTCATATTGATTTTTTTTCCCCTGACAGAGTTTATATTTGGACTTTTACCATGTCCTTAAGGGTTTTCTTAAAAGAGAAACTAAAACTTAATTTTGAGAAAGGAAATTAAGAGATCAAAATCTTAATGATTATATGATAAATTTTGCCCTTTTATCGATCAATTGAATCATTCATTCTTAAATATATATATTAAATGCCTCTCATGGGCCAAGCTCCATCTTGGTTCTGGAGTGACAATGGTAAGCAATAATTCACATGGTCCCTGGACCTGTGAATTTGATCTACCGTCTCCTTACGTTTATCTACCAATAGGGGCAGTCCGATTTTGAAGTACTACAACAACTGTGCAGACTTTGGTACTTGAAGATTTTATTTGCTCTTTAGGGATTACTAAATTCTTATTAGATGGTTATTTGTTTCTTACCTTTGATTTACTTGACTATGGAGAAAGGATACCATAATACCTAGGATATTCTGTAGAATTACTGGAAAAACAACTACTTAATACTGAACAAGGGTTAGAAAAACAAAATGATGAATATAAAATGATGTACATTTAAAAAATATTGTGGGCAAATAAATAAAAATGAAAACAAATGTGTCTTGCATAGAAGTTGGCTATATAATCAATGTTTACAGTAACCCTTACATTTCCTGGGTGCATAAATTTAAAGATGCTTTTGTTTTTGCCATTATGAACAGTGAAGAGCAGCTGATGTTGGAATGAATCTTAGGGGAGGACCTCAGTGCAATGGAGTAGAACCTATATGTCAGCTAAAACTGAGCAAAAGCTTTGTTGAGCACATTGACAGCCACTCATGCATTAAAAAGAAAAAATCGCAAGTGATTTTAAGCATGAAAGCGGATGACACTGTCACCCCACTTGATATACAAGCTATTTTAAAAGATGTATCAGTAGCAGTGTGCATGAAAGTCAGAAGTGGGAAGGAACGAGATGGAAAAGGCAGTTAGGGAGGCTTTCTCTAGGCACAAGGCTAGTTATTTGACCTTGCCTGGAGAAATTAGTAGCATTGGAAATAAAAAGTGTAGGACAGAAAAGAGGCCAGTTTGAAAGGAAATGAAAAACAAACCAACACCCCCCCCCCAAAAAAAAATCAAACAGCAGTTTAGAAAACAGAATTTCTTCCAGTGTGAAGTGCCTAAACCTCTGCATTGGGGATGATAACATGCTACTTACTGCTCTGGAGTCTGTGAGGGGCGACCAGACATGAAGCTGCGACATTCCTCAGGGGCGGAGGACACCTGGCCTTTATCCACAATGCTTCCCGCCTCTGACCTATGCAGATGGGCACATTTCAACAATCACAACAGAACAAGACACCACCTCTTAATACTTCAGACCTTCTACGAAGCAAAACATCTGTTATACACATGCTACATACTCATGTCACCATGAGTTTGTGTTATATAGAATTTATGACCTCATTCTGCCTTATTGCTTACCAATACCAGTATTATTGCAAACGGTCATTAACTGAAAGCGGGATTTTAAGTTTAGGAGTTTCTTTTAATCTTTGTAAATGGTATTTAGTATACAACAGGCATAAAATAAATGTATGTTTACCAGTAGGATAAACTACATACGGATACATAGCAATATGTCTTTTGCCACATTTAGAGTATCACTTACTGATATGGTGATAAAGTCTCAGTAATTGCTTTTCCTTTCTAGCCATGTAGAAAAGTCTAAAACATACATAGTTATTTTACCATATAGTGAAAACTTATGAAGTTCAAGTATATGAAAGTGTGGAAACAAGTGAACTCTAATTCTCATAGAGGTGGCAATATATTTAATAGTAACTCATCCATTTTCCAAGCCACAGCTCAACCGCATCAGTGATAGAACTTATTACCACCCCTGCATTGAAGATCTGCCACATCCAGAGCATATGGACAGTACAACTGAAGACAATATTCTACTCACACAAGCAAACACCCTTATTCAGAGAAATCCAGTGCCAACCTTTTACTGCCTGCAGGCTTAGGTTCCTGTTCATTCTCTTCCACTTTTTTCCCTGGTGCTAACTTCTCAGCACTGTCAAGCAAAGCACTAAGAGCCACTCTCCTGAAGACATTACCATGAGCTTCTTTGATGAACTGGACCAGCTGACGGATGTCACAATATAATCCCTGTTTGAAAACAAGAAGAGAGTTTGGGGGAAAGAAAGACAGTGGTACGATTAGTTTTCATAGAAAGAGAGGGAGAAGGCGATTCCTTAGGTTTAGAGAAGCACTGGAATGATAAAGACACATAATTACCACTGTTGAAACTTACAGTATATTCCCTCAGCATTGCTCCTTTGGAACCTTACCAAGGACCTTGCCAGTCATTCTTAGCATGAAAAATCATGGTTACTAAGCAAGATGTATATTCAGGAGGCTGGCTGTATTATAAGAAAGACATCAATTTATATTTTTAGTCATTGGATTTATAAGCTTTTTGTCTCTCAACTTTAAGGAGATCCAAAGAGATGCCTGCAAATAAAAGGTAGTCAGAATTTGTTTAGAGATTTCAGTCCCTGCTCTGCTTCTTTAAATTTTCTGATTATGACAAAATGTTTATGTTCTCTAGATACTTCTAACAAAGCCTGATTAACCAAAACATGGTAATTTTTGATGGACACATTAATCAAATAATATATATGTTGTAGCCACTTTGAGTGTGAACTTGACTCTGAATTCAATACTATTAGAACTCAAATTTTGAGTTTAATTAAAACTCGGATATTGATAAATCAACTTTTAAAAACATATACAAGATTTTTATTAAGATATTAAGCTTTGCACCACCACCAACATTTCCTACCCCTCTCTTCTTTCTTTAAAAGGGTAGTTACTGTATTCTTTGCTTTAGGAAAGTTCATGGGAAAGCAGGTTGCAGAGGTGTTTAAAAAACACACACACACACACACTTTTATAGCTTTTGCTTTTATAAACCTAACACTGGTGGGAAATTTATACCTGTGATTTTTAGGAATGTAGAAGGCAGGAACCTTAAGGATAATAGAAAGAGCATGTATCCTTGGGGCTTGTGGGTATCAGGGACCTATGCCCTCCACTCTGCTCTTTAGTAGCTCCTTTATGGAAGGTGCAAGACCCCCGCAAAAACAAGAGTTCCAAACAACAGAGAATGCACAAATCCAAGCATGCAGTGGACAGCACCATATGAAATAATAGCTGTAGACTAATAATTGAGACCTGGGTAGCCTCCAGTATTTGGCCCTGGGAGGAGTTAAATACTAACCTTTTATAGCCTAATTCTCCTCCTCTCTACACTACTAGTGGCTTAAGTGGTTTAATTAACACTCTCCTTTAGGGAGATCTAATGTGATCTAAAATATCACAGGGCTCAATTAAAGAAAACAAAACAAATTTCAGCAGCATGTTTGCATTAATTTTTAAAGTGAGTATGGTTTCAAGTAATGCTTGGTATATCATCTTTTAGATTTCATGAACCAATAAACTGTGCTCTTGCATCTTCTTTTGAAGGACTCAAAATATCTTGCAACAATTTCACCAGACATTACAACCTTTGAGATGAACAATGAAGATACGTCAATCTGCAGATGAGATAATAAGATAAGGAGGAACAAGGAAAAGCAAGAATGGATAAGGCCCCACTGTGATTTACTGGGAACATTCAAGGAAATGATCTCTCAGCATTAAGACTTCAACTTCTCTTCCTCATGGCCACGATGTGAGCAATTTTCTCAGAGCAGAGGCTGACAGCTCCGTGGGAAGGAGAGGAGAGCTTCTCACCAGATTCTCAGGACTGTGCAGTTCGTGTGTGGTGGAGGCACAGCGGGTGATGAGGGATTTAAACATGGCACTGACGATAATGCCTTCCACGTTTTGGGCGGAGGATTTGTTGTCCACTGTGGTGAAGTTATTTCCAAACCCAGCCTTGTCTGGAAGGCAAAGGCACAAGTTAAAGGCAATATTTCCATGAAGCTCCGCAAAAGCGAGAGGGGCAAGGAAATACTCAGCACCCAGGAAATAGAGAAAGGCTACACAAAATCCAGACACTAAGCCTTCCAGCTACTTCTGGTTCAATAATCTCTATGCAAACTTGGAAATAAAAGAATCAGAACCTCCTTTACATCCACTTCTATGACATGTACAACTGCATTTGTGAAGCATTTTGATTGATTTCTTAAAAAGTGGTTGCTTATTTAAAACTGACTCCAAACCTAAAGCCCACAACTGATCCCCTTTCCTTTGCTGTGTTCCTTTATAGAACACCAGGAATAACCTGTTATCAGAACTGTTTTTGCCAAGAATATTACAAGTTTGAAAAACAATGAAGTGAGGATTGTAGTTGAGATCTTCATGTCTTTTAATGTGATAATCAAATAATAAACTCTGGGATACAACCAGGAAAAGTACTTCTAAATCCATCAAATGTCTTCATTCTAAATTAACCAACAATCATTTATATATGATATAAGCAATTGTAGTCTATATTAAGGTATTATTTCTTCCCAGACTTTAACCAAAATGTGTATTTTACTTAACTCAGGCATCATGCATAACTTTTAGTTCACTAGTGCATTTGTATTCAAATGGTAGTGGAGATATTCAGTTTATTATGAGTGCAACTGGAATTCATTGATTTTGCCCTTTAACTTAGGTCTCTATATTGAAGTTTTCTTAAAATCATGAAGCTATAAAATAGGTTGTAGGTGCATGTATGGATCCATTTGCTTGGTTTTTAAAAAGTAAGTCTATATGTATGTGTATATGTGTATGTCAAAATTGCGTTATTATTGTGTTTACTATGACCACGTTTTTGGTTTTTTATTTTTCCTGTTTTATTGTGTGAAAAAAATTGCCAAGCACTGTGTCTGTCACATAATAGGTATTCATTTCATATTTACTGAACAAGCACATACGTTCCCTGTCTCTTGATTGCTGCCTCAATTGCTATAAAACAGCAGGTCATCTGAGACCAGAAGTATGAAGAGAGGTAGGATAAAGATGGCTAAGGTGGGGATGCCACATGCTTTAGCAAATTCCTCTGAGGATAAAATCTGTCATCAAAGATTATATGCAAGCTTCTCTTGTTTATATATTCTTACACACACACACACACACACACACACATATGCACATGTACCTTTTTTCTCTTAATTTTATTCCCACAAATTCAGTGTGCCCCTGAAACACTACCTGCTTCATCTTGCAGCGATTTCTCCTAGAACTCAGGTACAGCTTTACTTACTGTCAGTGACCGGCTCCATACAAAATCCTAGCAAAGCATGCAAGAAGTCCACTACATTATTCAGAGAGTCCTTGTTCACATAGTCCCTCATGGTTTGTCGGAATTGCATCTTATCTAGCTTGTATAGCTTAGTGAGGCAGTGCTGGGCCTGCAATGAAGGAAGAGAAGTGAAAAAGTCACAAGTACCAGCTTAAGCTACAGATGTCCTTAACCTGAGACAGAAGCCTTCAGAAGGCAAAGACTTCCATCCATCCCTACTTTCTGGTGCCAGCCAACCCTACCAGCTCCTCCTATCTGAATAAGAAGTAGGCAGAGACAGACTGGGCAGTGCAAGGGGAAAAACCCAAAGCCAAAGTCTAATGCTGATCCCAGGGGGAGTTCAGTATTTACACTAAGATCAAGGCTTTAAGATCTTAATGAAAATAACTCAATGTGTAAAATTGAGGTAAGTGATAGAATTAACAATGCACACTTAGAAAAACTCAAAGTCTTTATGCAATGGGAAGAAGCATGCCACTGCCATGTCCAACACATTGAAATTAAGTAGATTTAATAGAGGAAGTGAGGCAAGAGGAGTAGGAAGTGAGTGTCCAGTGTGTTCCTACATGGCCCGGAGGAAAAAAAATTCTTGAAACACTAACAGGTGAAAAACAAAATCCAATTTGTTTATTTATGTGTCTGCATTTGAATGTGAAAGTATGGTATTTCAATAGAAGTTGACCTCATAGATGGGAAAACAAGTGACAACTGACTAAGTGCTGCTATTCACAATAGCTGTGTGTTTCTTAGGGTCCTGCAAATAATTTTGCCACCTGGCAAAGGAAAAGGGAACAATTCTCAGCATTAGAACCAAAGAAGACACAATCATTAACTGTTGAAGATCAGCAGACAGAATGATCTGATATTGCCTGGAAGCATTAGGGGTTAAAAAGAAAACTCCTATCCAAAAGAAAAAAACTATTTATGAGGAGCTTTTCTACTTAAAAAACATTTTTTTGCAATGTAAGTGCATCAAATTTGACTTTTGTTCCACCTCTATGATTCACCAAGTATCTCTTTATTATAGTTGAGACACATAGAATCAAGGACTTTATCTATGTTGAAACTACAAATTCTATAGCAGATTCAAAACTGGGAGTCAGGGTCATCGTACCTCCTAGTAGTTATTTCTCCCGTGAAACAGTACTCTCATTAAGAGTGATGTTTTTGAGGAAATATATTTAGATACCACCCAATGCCAAAAAGGACTTAAGATGATTGGTAATAGAAATCAAATTAGTATGTTGAAGAAGACTTCATCTGAACAAAAGAGATATGAGAATGTCCACAGCAATGGAATGAAATGGGAAAATGGCAGAAATCTTTAGGATGAGGAGAAAGAGCTAAGGATCTAGAAAGAAGGGGCAGCTGGGGGAGAACTACCTTAATTGAGGATGGAGGATTTTACACAATCTGGTATAGGAATGGAAGTTAGATTAGGGAGGCAATTACCGAGAATCAGAATGGTGGGTTCTTTGTGGTAACCCAGAAGAAAATTTAAATCACATTACCATTTTGACAAATCAAGATTCAGGGAAAGATACTTGAAAAATTTGAGAGGAAAAAACAGAGTATAAAAGAATGAAACTTGGATTTAGCTACAGACTTCTTGGTATGACCTTGTTATAATCGCTCCATCTGTATCATAGTCAGATGGTTTGGTATTTTTTTTTTTCATCCTCTCTTTACACTGTCCTAGAAGATTTGAAATTAGGTCTTTTTATTCCCAGAGAGTTTATTAGTTGCCAGATCCCAAACAGGCTCATTTATTTTTAGTTTATTTTATTTATATAAAATACATACTACTTGTTATAAAATGAAGTTTACAAAACACTTAGGTAAAATGTTCTTCATGAAGAATTTAATTATCATTCCTTTAAAAATTTGAGAAGCTCTTCATTATATTAATTACAAAGTGCTTTTAAAAAATCCTAGATTGTAAAATCCTAAAGTTCAAGTGTTACCCATTCTCTACAAAACACACCCAAAAGGCATAATTTCAAATCTACCATTTGGTGGCCCATAGACTGTCTATATGGTCTTCCTGAGTTCAGTGGGAAATTTAAGCAAGAATAAGATTCCCAAGCCTTAAATATTTTGATTGTGAATGACAGACTAAATTTCTTCAAATGATGTAAAACTGTTAGAGAATGAATTCCTTTCAATAATTTGGGACTATCAGCTAATGATCAGATTAATAATCTAAGAGGTATCGAGGAAGCGTGATGGAATTGCTAGGCACTTCAATAAATAACCTTACAATAGTCTTCTGTTTTTACAAAAGAAAAATAACTCACAAAACAAAGAGAAAAAAACTATAGAGTATCTGACCTGAGAAATACGACCTGAGAAAAAGTGAAAGTATTCTTAACTTTTTAAAAGTTAGGTAACTTCTCAATAAGGACCTATTGCTTTGGGGGGAAAAGTAACAGCTGGAATTCCAATGGTAGAGAAATTTAGAAATATCTAACTTCTTGATCCATATATTTCCCAGGGAAATTTTCTCAAATTTTGTATCTTTTGGACAATGTGTTTACTGAACATGGGTAAGCACATATGATCTCTATAATGAGTATAGCATAAATCTACAAAATAATGGAAGAATTGCCCTATAAATCAAGTTGAAAAGCCAGATAGGGAACAGTCTGAATGCCTCATAGAAGCATTCAATACCTGGAGAGAAAAAAGCATGGCGGACAAGAAGTAACAAAAACTTCTTTTCTGATTCAGTTAGTCCTGCTTTCTGTTAATCCAGAGAGACAAGACACAGTTGTCCAAGGCAGTTTATACTAGAGAATGATACTTAGTAGGTTTTAGCATCTAATTTCATGAAATTAGTCTTAGCATGAGAAGTAATGTGGTTTATTCTACCCTGAAAGGTTTTACTCATGCTGTGATAGAATTAAAAATCAAAGAATCACATAAGTATGTGCAAAGATGGAGGCAATGTAAGCTTTCTATTGGCTTACTAGTTATTGTTTTAAATTTTTTTTCTCACTTTTAACCTCAAAAACCCAGATCTTGGACAAGATGTTCATGTTTCAAATTAATTATTTTGGTTGTTACTTCCCATATACACATTAAACTAAAATAACACAGCATAACAGAATATTTTTTAAAAAAAATGGATAAATAGATAGATGATAGAAGATATATTAAGCAAGAATTCAGCATGCCAATACTATGTGAACACCTCATGACAAAACCTAACGCCAAGGAACACTGGTCCAGCATTAGATTTTGACATTATCCTAAAACTCTGCCAACATATGCCAAAGGGTTTTCTGGACTCAGATTTGCATCCAATCTTTTTTTTTTTTCTTTATTTTTTGTGAAAAGAATATTTTCTTAGAATTTCAATTCACATGTGAGGCAACTGCCCCAGCTCAGGCTTGCTGTGAAGATGGATCACTGGTCAAGTCAGAAGGAACAAGGCACAGTCAGGAGAGCTCACTGAAAATGAGCTGTAATGTTCCATTACGGAATTACACATGGCAAGCCCAAGGGCAGAGTTTCAAGTTTCACACAGTTCAAAGGGAAATGATCTCAAATATGTAGAAGTTGAGGTTCATTTTGAAGCAAAGCAGCCAGAAAACAACTGGCTACTTTTACAGTCCTGTTTTGTCCCAATAAGGGCCATTTTCCATATCTAAGTAAGAACAACAAACTGAGTCTCAACTTTGACCCTTTTCTCTAATATGAAATATGCTTTTATAGTAGCCAGACAGATGATTGAAAATCATTTGTCGCAGGTCATCAGAAGCTTGCTAAATGTATTCATCTGTGCAAAGTTCTTCCAAACTGAAATTCACACATTCCAATCATACCCTTGCACCAATTGGTTTGTTGGTCTGCTCTAGGTAGGAGGCAGAAGTGTTTTCCCAATTAAACTTTCCTAAGCCAGTTTTAGTTGTCAAGATATCTTGTGGGATTTCTCCCATCCCAAGATATCATTAAAATGTCCTATGAAATACAATATTTTTCAGGGAACACTGACCCTCATTGTCAAAGGACTCATTCCTCAACTGGAGGGAGGGAAGAGGGAGAGGAAATGGAATCTACTTTAATTCTCTTACATTCTCTCGGAATACCTGGTGTCTCAGACGATCTCCCGAGATCCCTCGGTGTCCTTCTCCGCAACCATAGGCACATCCCAGAGACTTCACTATTTTGATGAGCATGGTGAGAGCAAGCCTATGGTTGCTTACAGGTGTACTTTCATCCTGGTACCCATGATCAAGAAACAAAAAGAAGTCTACTTACTTTGCCACTGAACCACTATTGCTATGAAGATTCTATTTTACAATTAAATAAAGTTTGTATGTTTTACAATAAGCACCTGCAATTGGGGAAATACAATTGTCCAGGGTCTAACAAAGAAACTCACTTTTCTAAAACCTATTTCATGAATTAAAAGAAAATAATTCATGCATTTTGAATAGCCTCTGGTGCTATAACATGAACACAAAACTTTTTCTTGGAAGATATCCTTCATATCCTTGGCAGCCTATTGGAACGGCTACTGGGATGGCGGGTGGGGATCATCAGCAATGAAGGCCAATGAATTTCCTTAGAAACTACCCTCATGAGCAGTCTTCTGATAATACCACCAGGTAAGGATTACTGCTGAATTTCTTCAACTGGTCAAAGTCTAGAACTTTGAAATTTCATGGCAATTTCTGCTATTTTTGAAGGATTTTTTTCCCAATTGTTTCACTATATTATAATTCACATGCATAAGAAAAAGCAAGAATATGCAGAACTTTATAAGCATTCAGATTGATTCTCCCCTTGAGGGTTGATTGGGAGCCCTCCTGAGATGAATGATGAAAATCATTTTCATCCACTTTTTTGTCCCTTTTAATCCTTACTGTGAGTGGAGAACATGATGTCCAAAAAAGGAACTTCCTTGAATCATTTCCAAAGAAGCCTAAGGACGCTGTTGCTAAGGGATGATGCTGAGCCCAGTGTGGGGGAGTCATTACCTTTGGGAAGCAGCAACCTGCCTCCATCATCCTAGCTACTTTCAGAGTAAGCACATTCATTGAGGACTTGGGATTCCAGCTCCTGGTCCTTAATTGCAGGTAACGTTAGATAAGTTAACTAATCCTTTTTTTGTTTCCTCGCCTGTGAATTAAGCACCCTAATAACTGCCCTTCCTACTTTACAGGTTTGCTGTGTAAAGCAAATGATATAATGGTGACCACAACAACCTAAGGGATTTTCATGTTAGTTACATGAACAGGTTGACAGATAAACTTTTGGGCTACACATAGAAAGAATACTCCAATGGAGGTAGGGTGTAAAAGGAAGGGCTAGGGATTTATACAGAAATTATTTTCTGCCTTGATGTGATAGTGTAGATACTCTCCTCCCCCTGCTTATCCATAAACTTATCCATAAACTCATGCAGTGAATGCAGTGCTGGACCCCAGAAATTCTCCCATCGGGAATAAAACATTCATTCTCTGAGTTGTTGGAAGTGTTGATGGCTGAAAATCCTCAGCTGACTGCCTCTGCTGGAGAGCTGCCTCCACCAACCAACCAACTTTACAGTGTTTTCCAGGAGGCAGACTACCTCCAATGACAGGTCAGTGGCAGAAGAGTGGTAAAGGCAAAAAGTCTCCTTGCTTCACCTAAGAACTGCTTTGAAGAGCCATCTCGACTCCAGATATATTTACAATTAAGATGTCATTTTTAGTTTGGATGGAATCTTCCCTGCAAGATTTGATAATTGTATAACTTTGGGCAAACTACGCAGTGTCCTACAAAATAGCAACAATATAATAATTTCATAAGTCAAAAAAGTAAAAACATGTAATGTCCATTATAATAGCAAAACAAATGTTAACTATTATTTCTAGGTCTAGGACACTGCTATGGTCTGAGGCACCTTTATGCAAATTAGAAACACACCTCTCTTGGTGGATGAGTTGGAAACAGCCAAGCCTCTGGGTGGATGCAGTGCTTGGATGTGAAGCTCTGTGAGCAGAGCTTGTACTGGATTTCATTCCTCACCAGTTCCCACAGTCAAGATTTTTTGGATAGTAGGTGGACAATAGAGTCATATAGTAGTGTCTCAGAAAAGGTCATCCCAAACAAGGGCTTATTTGGAAGATTGGTTTACATATATTTTTAAATTATTATATGTCCCTTTAAAAATTCCCTAGCCCTAAAAATCTTTGTAAGGATCGATTCAGTTTTTTATTCTTTAGACCTTCAGGTGTCCTTGGGATTTAAGTTTCTTTCATAGAGGATATTCAGAAAGATGTATCAAGCTACAGGCAGAAACCAGAGTACTAAATAATATTTCAGCTTCTCAGTATAAGCTAGTGGCCAAAATGGAAATAGAAATTAGATCTTCCTTTCTGTCTTAATCAATTTCCCATGTTTCTGATATTAATGGGGCTGAAAAATTAGATAAACTTTCTGATTCCACTGAAAAGAAAAGATGTTTTTAGGGAAGAACAGACCTTTATGAATCATAAACACAAGCCACTTGACCTAGCATCACATTTTATTTTATAAATTCTTTTTCCTAAAAAGAATGTCATTTTGAGAACTAACTACAAAACAATTGAATTTTGGTTGCTCTTTTAGAGACCACATTATCTCTTTTTACAATCATTCATACTGATAAAAAGTGCTAATTTTGGTCAAAATAACATTTATAGCACCAAGCTATAGTATCTAAAATAATATCTAGGTATACTATATGATTAAGGCAGAAGAAGAAAATCCTAAAGATAAGGCTAAGGAATCCAAGAATATTGAAGCAGGAATATTTGGATCAGAATATTGGGAAGATAAATCATGAATATTGGGAGGATAAAAGTAAGCCTTGAAATAAAGAAACACAGAGGATAAATGTGCATTAATTATGTAGTAGGTGGGAGTAGAAAGAAAGAAGAAATTTTTATAATTTCTGCAATCCTCATTTGGATGTAAAAATTTAACGCCCTATGGAGAAAAATGGTCAATTTATAGTTCATATTGTGTCTGTAGATGTTAAAACTCTATATAGTATAATCTTTCACTTGTAAACGCTTGACATAATATGGGATTCTTACTTGTTAGAGATTCAAATCTCTTGTTGTTTTTAATTTCGGAACAGCACATTCCAGCTACAACCTCAAATCAGTGTGAGTTATGTGAATTTAAGCTGTGGTCATTTGTATTTAAAACTCAATAAGGAAAAAATGAATTCTTGTTGTTAAATGCAGAGTTCATAACGAGGTTTTGCCAAGGCAGAGGGAATGAAATTCAGGAACAATCAATAATAGGAAGGCAAAACCCTCTGAGAGGTAACACACTGAGACACAAGGGAACTGAGGCTAGAATAGTTGTTGCCATGCCAAACCAATATCAAATAAATCAACCAACTAATCAAGCACCATTCTTCTCTTGCTTTCCCCTTAACTGTGGCTAAAGTTGTCTGCCAAAAATCTGTTATATAAATACTTTATTTAGAAAGTCCACATTGCTTCTTATGGACTGGGTATTTGTGTCCTCCTGAAATCTGTATATTGAAATCTTAAACTCTAATCTGATTATATTTGCAGATGGGCCCTTGGGAATTAATTAAAATTAAATAAGGTCAGACACTGGGACCTGGGTCCAAAGCGATTAGGCTGTCTTCCTGCTCATGCACAAAGTGGAGGCTGTGTGAGCACACAGCAATGGTGGTTACCTACAAGTCAAGCAAAAGGCCTCACATTAAACCCACCCCGCTGGCAACTTGACCTTGGACTTGCCAACCTTTAGAATTGTGCGGAGTAAATTTCTGTTGATTAGGCCATCCAAACTATAGTATTTTCTTATTGCAGCATGAGTGGACTAAGACACCACTCAATTTATACCACGAACGTCTGCTATCTATCCTTAGTGGCACACTGAGAATTATGGAAATGGAATGCATCTGAGGTGTTCTATTGCAGAAATAACCTAACCAGAAAATTCATTCTAACAAAGCATGAATGACGATGTGTGTGGATTCTGAACACTGTTCAATCTGTTTCTACTCATGCCTGCTAAAAACCTAATTAAGATATTTCTACATTCAGTACTTTCTTACTCTAGTGATTAGTTGCTGCTCTGAGTCAATAAATTGCTAGCAAGCCAGCATTGGGAAGAAATTCAGAGCAATATTTCTTGAGGACACAGAAGGTGGTTCAGTCATACCTTCTCTTGGTTCTTATCATTCTTCTCATAAGGGCCTCCTCCACCTCCTCCACCTCCTCCTCCATCACCTCCTCCACCTCCATCACCACCTCCTCCTTCTTCTCCTCCACCATCTCCAGCTCCACTAATGGAAGGGCCCCCAAATCCACAGGTAGAACTTCCAGATACTCCTTTGAACTGGAAAGTTCCTTCACTTGGTCTCTTTTCCACAGTCTCATTTTCCTTGTTTTCACTCTTCTTTCTGTTCTTTTCTACACATGGTACTACACCAAGTTGAAGCAAGCATTCCACAATGTTTAGTGCCACATCACAGATGCGAGAGCTGATGTCATGGTTAAGGACAAGATAAACAGCCTTCAGAACCACCTGCAGAGGACAAAAATAAACAGGACAATTAAGTTACCTCTTCCTAAATAGATTTAGTTATTCTGCTTAACTAGTTATTCTTCTTCTGTGCTATGTGCATAAATCAGACAATTTTCAGATTTTATTATCTAAGCTGCATGGGGACATTGTGTACGTGCTTAATATAGACTTAATATCACCCAGAGAATTAAAATCATGTATTTTCTCAGTTAAGTCTCTCCAAACTTGCCATGATATGAACAGTTAATGGGGATATTGAAGCACAGTGAATTAATGGGGCACTAATTATTTAGTCAAGTGGAAACTTGTATAACTGATATTTAAAATCAGGGTGTTTCAATTCTTTTCACTTTCCACAAATAATGAATAAAGAAGAATAACATATTTATGCTCATAATAAAGCAATACTTGCTTATCCATAATTGTATCATTATTTACCCTTCAACTTCAAATGTATAATATTTGCATTTTTAAATTATGCCCCTTTATTTATTTTAATATTTTAAATTATTTGCTAGGCCAGGTTCCCTGATGTGCAATAATAATGTTTGTGAAACATAATTATAAAATATAGCAACCCTTTCATTTGCTAATAACTATACTCAAGGAAAGCATTCTTCAGAATGCAAGTCTAAATAGTTTAAGGACTTCCATTCATTTTTTTTCTGACTACACAGGAGGTTTGTAGTCTTGTTGCTTATATAACCAAATGAAATAAATGAGCTTCTTACTCTTTTTCTGGGAAAAAAAAGAGGTTTAGAAAACACACAAACATATATTTATGTTTAGGATTCACTAAGTTTTTAGAATTATAAACATACTCTTAGATCAGATCAAATATAATGTAATGCCTAGGGAAAAACAAAAGGTTCATCTATGATGGTTGACACATTTAAGAATTTTTTTTGTGGGTAGTTTTTTCATTTTAATATTCAATACTTCTAAGAATCTCTATGCCCTTTTACCCAATCTTGTGAATATTGGATTTAAAGAATCAATATCTTTCTGGCCTTCATAAGAAAAATTCTTGTTCCTTACGGAAAGATCAAGCATTCCATTCTTGTGGACAAAGTTGTTGGTCCCATCGATATGCTCTGTGTCCTCCAGGTAGCTGTAATTAATGCAGGAGTCTGTGAGGCTTCGAGGCAGGTTAGCACAGGCCAGCGGTTCGTGAGGCATCTCTGGGATAGGCACTTGGTTGCAGAGCTTCCTCATATGCTCATTGAAAAAGTCTGCGTAGCCTACGTTGAATGATGCCAATGTGGTATTGAAGGTTGCTACTGTGATAGTAGAGATCTGGGATCGCACTAATGAAACAAAAGAAACAACTTAGTTTTCCTCATATTCACCTGCTATATCAGTTAGATAGTTATGCTATTATTTAAATTATGACCGTAATCAGGGCTGTAGCTTTTGTAGATATATGACTTATAGTCTCAAATCTATACTGAACTCCCATGGAACTCCTGAAGCTGTAAGTCCAAGTAATATTGATAATTAATGGAGACTATAGAAAAACTAAGTTGCAACTAGCTTCCTTTAGCTGAAGCTAGGATTTACCTTTTGTTAATGCTGACTTAGTTCACTTGATCATAACAGGTAGATTTTACACGCTGTTAGATGACAGATCATATTAACAAAAACTAGTTTAACTGAACTATTTTCTCATAAGTTATGGCAGTTAAATGTCTTATTTTGATCTGGTGTATTACAAAAAAAAAAACAAGATGGAATTTTCTTTTTTGGTTAAAGTAATAGAATGTAAATTTATAACGAATAGATACTTGAAGTACAGTTCAAAGAAAAGAGGGATTAAACTTGTGTTCCTATGAGAGCATAAGAATAAGAAAAAGAATAAATTATTCTGTTAAGAGTAAAGAAAAAGAGCCTGCCTTAGATTCCATCCAGAAGCACATTCAATTTGTGTAAAGCTCATAAAATCACTTCTCTGAAATAGAATCTGTGTGAAAAAGGCATTGGTGGCCCTGGAAGGCAGGGACTTTCTTCCCACGGAAGGTGTAGTCCTTCTGAAGCATGTCACAGAGGAAACTAAAGTGCAAAATGCCCTTTAGCCCTATGGGTCTGTGATCTTTTAAGATGAGTGGCTCATCTTTGCTCTTATTAAAGGTCTGGTGGTCTCAGTGTAGTCAAATAGCTCTTGACTAAGAATGGCTAAACATTAAATTACCAAGTGATAACACAAGAATGGAAGTTTTCAAAGAACATAAGTAAGTGGAATGAAAATGGAACCTACGGTAAGCACAGAGACCAAGAAAAGAAACCTAAACTCCTGCCCCGAGCCCTGCCTGGGACCCACCTTCCTTGACTGTGTTTTCTCCGTGGCTGTTGGAGGGGTCAGGCAGGTCGCTCACCAGAGTGTGGTGGGAGTGGGAGTGCCTGGCGCTCAGGCTCTCCATCTCAGTAGCTGCATCTGAACTGCCCCGCCGCGTCAGTTTCCCTGAAGTGGACAAGAGCATCACAAGGGGTTTTTAAAATCTGAAAGGTTCTTTGCTGAGATTTTTGTCTTTCCTATGGACAGCTGTGAGAGTGAGGAGGTATTAGGAATAGCAGAAGGCCCAGCCTGGGGTATAGTCAAGGTCAATATGATTGATGGAACTGCCTGTGATAAGGTTAGCCCCAATCTAAGCCAAATGTCAGAAACCATCTGTTGTGGACCTGCTAACTGTCAGCTCCTGGTTTTAAGCTGGCTGTCTTAATATGCCATCCCAAACAGAAAAAAATTTTTTCCTTTGCTTCACTTATTCCTTTATTAAATAACAGAGTTAAATAAAGGTCTGTCTTTAGATTAACCAATGAAAGTTAAGGCACAGAACCCTCTAGGGCCATGTTTCTGAATCTAAGAAATAGGGCCTTTAACCTGGCTAATTACACAGAATTCTTACGTAATTACTTATTTGCATTTGTTTGGCTGTGAAAATACAGCATTATTTCAGTTACTGGGGAACCTTCAGTTAGGACTAAATTTCTTGGCTGAATTAATTGTCCAAGAAAGACCCAGACTTTCCAGGGAGCCACAGGTCAAGATTCCTAAATAGGTCACTCAAGCTCTGCCCTACTTCAAAAGGTCTTTTGTGATCACCTAAAATGGTAGTTGGCCAGCCTCCTTTTTCGATGCCTCGCCTGTCTTCTCCAAGCCCAGAGAAACTTCCAAAGGAGAATGTGCTACGAGTGGGGGACACATCCAGGTGGTCCTCATGAAGCAGGAATGGCACACCCATTCTTCGGGGCCTCCTCTTCCCGGTGTGGTGGAATGGAATGGAGCCTTTCCTCTCTCGGTCTTCTTTACGGCTCTTGAACTGCAATGGTAAGAGATGAATAGTCAGGCACAGGGCAAAGGAAAGGTTGTAGTTTACTTCTCAAAGGGCTCCATATCCTTGAGTAGTAAAACACAAGCATAGGGAATCCAGGAAGTCATTGGATGTCATCCAACAGAAATGGATGAAATTTCCCTAATTTGTTAAAAGAGAAAAAGAAACTAAGCAAAGGGCCACATAGGTCTTTCAGATTTGTGGATTAGAGGAGTGTTCTCAAAGTCTGATCCCTGGACCAGCAGCATCAGCATCATGTGGGAACCTGCTTGAAAGGTACTTTCTCCAATGCATCCCCAGACGTATTGCATCAGAAACTCAAAAGGTGAGGTCTAGCAATGTGTTTCAACATGTCTCATAAATGATTCTAATGTACACTAAAATTTGAGAATCACTGGATTAGAATATAGGATTCCTGGTCACTTGGACCAGGCTGTCCCTTTTTCAAAACTGAAATTCATTATTTTGGTCAACCAACTTCAAATATGTGCAACTGCTCACAGGATATAGTCAAAGATGATCCAGAGGAAACATTGATAAAAACCCATTATTCCTACAAAATAGTTCAAGATCAAGTATAATTAGGAGTTTAGAATTGTCTAGATAACTTGTCAAATATACTAGTGCCTGAGCCTATCTTTGGCAATTCTGATTTAATTGGTCTGGGATATGGCTTAGGCACTTACCTTTTTATAAAAGCTCCTCAAAACTTCTATATGCAGCCAAGATTGAAAAATTTCTTTTTTTTCCTCTTAAATGATGACTGGTTTTAAAAAAATGATGGCCATTGCCTATTGTTTCATTATTAATGAATGCAGTCATGACAAGCTGGACTCATAGATTAGTTAATATGTGTTATATTATTCACGGACATAATTCAGTTAATAATTTTAAAAGCAATTATTTTCAAAATAAAAGATAAAAAGACCCTTACTTATGTGTGTGTGTGTTTATACACACACACATATACCTGTGAGACTACACATATTATTTTCTATGCAATTAGTGCCATATATTTATTTAAAAAGAGACAGTCTGATGGGTTCAGAAGAGCATAGAAGTATTTAGCTAAATATCTACTTTCAGATTTGGGTTCACTCTTTGGTGAACTACCTAGTTTCTAAGGGTCAAATTCTTCTCTGGAAAACAGGTAGAATAAAGAATTTCAATGGATTACGTGAAAACTCTTTATGTAAAATACTTGATGAAATGAGTTGGACCACACAAATGTAAGTTATCATATTACTACCACAACTACCTCTACCACAGCAGTGCATTATCAGGACTGACCTTCCCACAACCCTGTGGAACTCTGAGAGTAGGAAGCACACTCATACTAATGGAGAGACTTACAAAGGCCTATAGGGTTATGCTATAGGTCATAGCCAGTGTTGTAACCACCCCATACTGTAGCAAAATTAGAAAGAAATACCTCATGCTCCACTGAATTTAATTAATAAAATATCAAAAGGTATAAATGATCCTACTCACCTTTTTAAAAATGTTCATGCCCAGGTCTGAAGAAAGATCTGGTACTGCAGACCTGCGCAGATTGGTCAATGAAACCTTGGAAAAGGCCTCAGGGCTAAGAGATTTTTCTTCTTCATTACACTTCATGGTGAGATCCTTAACATGCAATAAAATAGACAATGATCAAGAACTTAGGGCTGCTATCCAAGTATTTTGTTACTGATATGTCACATTTTTAATAGGGATACACCTACTGTTTTGATATCTATGACGTATCTAACTTGCGTGTCTGGACTTTCAAAATCCAAATTCTACAACCTTAAAGAAGTATTTCATACTAACTTCTGTTTGTAATTTTCAGCACTGAGGCCATGTAACCCCACATCCACATTGATGAGAAAATAGAAAATAGATATCTCTTTTTATTTTTTAGTTAAAAATAATATTTTTCCAGGGGCTGGGATTGTAGCTTAACTGGTAGAGCATTTGCCTTGTATGTGTGAGGCACTGGGTTCAATCCTCAGCATCACCTTAAAAAAATAAATTAAATAAAGGTATTGTGTCTGTCTTCAACTAAAAAAAAATTTAAGAATATTTTTCTATTTAAAAATTCATTAAAGGAAATAATTACTTTGGGCAGAATATCTACTAATAAAGCAGAGTATATTTCTTTTCCACTCTGATATTACTTATGTATATTTTCACAATATGCAGAAAAGAATTTTAAGCCCCCAAACTGTAAAACCCTATAAGTCAGGTTTTTCTCTATATTTTCAACATACAGTGTTGATGAGAAAGAGAGGAAGAACAAGCATTCAACTTATATTAGGCAGTTGTTCATCAGAAAGCAATTTTCATGGGGATGTCACCACATTAGTAAACACTCAGTTTATTTCTCCAAACATCTATAATAAATAGTAAGACTATATATCAATAAACAATATTTCTAATGATGATGCTGAAATACTGAAAATTTTTGAATTATGCCAAATCAGTAAAATGGTGGTATCCCATATTTTATGATATAGGTAATTGACAGATGACGTGTCAAAGTCTTTATTACCTACTTTGATTACTCAGAAGACCTCATTTTCACTACTCTGGCTACACTAAGACTTACACTACCATGGCATGTGTAAGAGGTGCACTTCTTTCAATGGTAAACAAGAACTAAACAATAGCAAAAATGTCCACTGATGAAAGATGGAAGGGAAAGGATAATGGCAACTGAGGAATCCACCAATCAGACAGCACTGGATTCACAGAAGACAGCATGTTATGGCCAAAGTTGTCAGTTCAAATGACAATGGACAGAGTGGCTTACTTGGGTTTTGTGAGTGTTCACTAGTGAGGGTGCTGCCGCCACCATTGAGCTACTCCTGGGTCTGGGCAGGAGAGGAATATCTGGCTCTGGAGCCTTCTCTGGCTTCTCTTCCAACATATGCCTCAGTCTTTGTAGATAGTACATCAGAGACCACTGGGTGCCTTCTTCAGACCAGTGGGGCTGGAGTAGGCAGCGGAGAACAGCAACATCAAAGTAGGTGGCATAGCGGGATCTTTGGCATGGAGGTATCACCAGAGAGGCCCTGCTCCCAAAAGCAGAAAGAAGACAATTACCCTGGCAGTCAAGCCTTCCAAGGGGGCAGCTCGACATGGCTTATAGCTCTACTTTTCTCATTTTTTCATTTATTCATTTGTTATCTGTTGTTTGATTTGCTTGAAAATCCTAACTGGTCTTACTCATTTTGCTTTTGCTAACCATTTCCTTGAAACATAAACATTGAAAGAGTTTTGAAGAATGGGTAAAAATTAGCCAGGCAAAGTTGAGGTTGGGACAGGAAGGTAAATCAGCATTTCCACTAGAACAAAACAATGCTTGCAAATGTTCATATTTTTAAAAATCATGAGTTTGGAGAGGGAGAATTCATAAGCAATTAGTTTGTTGGTGAGTAATTTGGGTGGTAGGTAATGATGAGAGTCAGAGACATAGAAATAGTTTGTGTCAAGATGTTTCTTTTCTACTAAGCTATGAGGTTTAACTCTGGTAGAAACAGGAATGATGTTTGTCCTGTCTACTACACTGGGCTATTTTAATTTCAGTTGTGAAAATATTATGTAAAAGAAAAAGAAACTGCAAATGCTAAACATAATTTTACTATGAGAAAATGAGATCATTTTGAAATTCTTAAGTTATGTATCTATGTAAGATAGTAAAAAAAATTTAAAAAACAACATGTTTCTGCAATTTTATTATTCAATTTAAACACTTGATATATTTATTACTTAGTGTTCGATTTACTCCTAATTAAAAATAGATTCAAATGATTACTCAGCATAACACAACAACATAAGCATGGTAGATGCAATGAACTATATGTTTGTGGCTCTCAACATTTGTATTTTGAAATCCCAACTTCCAATGTGATGGTATTAGAAGGTGATGCCTTTGGAATTTGGAAAAGTAATTAAGTCATGAGGGTAGAGTCATATATATATAAACATACATAGCTCTCTTGTTTTCTTTCTATCGTGCAATGAAAAGACAGTCTGGAATCAGAACCTGACTGTGCTGCCACCATGATCTGAGACTTACAGCTTCCAGAACTGTGAGAAATAAATTTCTTTTGTGGATAAGCCATCCACATTAAGATTCTTTGTTACAGCAACCCAAACTGACTAAGGCATTAGTGGATATGTAGGATCATCCTGGATGCATATGATCCAGTCAGAATGACAGACAATAACTGAAAAAATATAAACAGAATTTCTGGGATCCAAGATGACATCTGGGTTCTAAAAACTACCACCAAGGACTTCCTTTTGAGCCATATGATGCAGAAGGACATGTTTGTACCTTTCTCTCAGCTAACAAATATCACTACCTACACATGAAGACCTCTTACCAAAAATGCAACCACTGAGAGCAAGAACAAGTTTCCTAAATTTCTCAGATCTGTATTTTGAATTGAAGATGTATGACTCCTGTTATGGTTTGGATCTAGAAATGTCCCCTGAAAAGCTCATGTTTTAAAAGCATGATCCCCAAAACAGCAAGGTTCAGAGGTGGGTTTTTAGGTAATGATTAGATTATGAGATCTATAACCTCATCAGTGGATTCATCCATTTGATGGATTAATAATTTGAATAGGCTACTGGGTGGTAACTGAAATCAAGTGGAGGTGTGGTTGAAGAAGGCAGGTTACTGGGAGTGTAGCCCCTTCACTCCTTTCTGACTACCATGAGCTGAGCAGCTTTTCTGTACCACATCTTTCCACCATGATGTTCTGCCTCATCTCAGGCCCAGAGTGATGGAGTTGGCTGACAATAGACATGAACTAAGGCTTTTGAAACTATGAGCCCCAAATAAACTTTTCCTCCTTTAGGTTGTTCTTGTCAGGTATTTTTGTCACAGCGATGAAAAGGTGACTAATACAAATAATTAATGTTTCAAGAAATTAATTTGATAGGACACAGGTACTATGAACCTTCTAACTACAAAAAAACCACTATGGAGTAAACTCTTGTATGTGTGATGAAATTTTTGTTTCACTTCACACATTTGTCAAGCGTAATTTAGTCAAATATATTTCTTACTGTGTGCTGCAGTACAAAGTTAAAGAAAAATAAAGACCTGGACCATGTCTAAAGCATTGTTATTTTCATAGCCTTTCCAGTTTCCTATTGAAGCATCCATACTTTGTTATTTCTATTCTTTTTTTTTAAATATTTATTTGTTAGTTCTCGGCGGACACAACATCTTTGTTGGTATGTGGTGCTGAGGATCGAACCCGGGCTGCACACATGCCAGGCGAGCGCACTACCGCTTGAGCCACATCCCCAGCCCCTCTATTCTTATTAATAGAATTGACTGGTGTGTTGAATGACAACTGCCAATATATATAATGGTTTTGAGTTTCAATGTGATCTTATAGATTAATATTCTTAAGTATTTTAATTGAGAACTATGGAACTAAATATAAATTCAAATTCAATCATGTAAGATGCTGCAATACTAAATTTTTAGCTGTATTGGCAGTCATATTGAAGAAGCTTACTACAATACCTTAAATTCTCATATATGTAATACCAGCATTTATCCTTTTTCGAGAAAGCTAGAATATTCTGTGAATATTGGTTTTGTGCCAACTTTGAATACATTACAGGCTCCCACAGATTCCGTATCTACCACTTCTCATCAGCTCTATCTGTGGGTACCACTCGTCTCAGTCACCAACATCTTTCATCAGGTAGATTGCAATTACTTCCTACAAGTCTTGTTGTTGCTTACTTCTCCACTGTTGCTCAACTGCTCCCAACAGGCAATCCAATCAACCTCAGAATAAGATTTGAGCTCTTTACAGTGGTCAACAAGACCTGTATAAGCTGGATGTGCTTTCCATGTTTGCTCTGATATGCCAGTTATCAATTATTGTCTCTCAGATTAAATTTACCTTTTTTTTTTTTTTTTAAATATGGCCCCTGTTTTAATATCTTCTCAAATTCTCCAGCATACTACTTGTTTCTTTCTGAGACTTTGACTGATGACACCTCCACAAGAACCTTCATTCTCCTTTCTACCTATTTCCTAAGAGGCTTTCATTATGCTTTCTTTCCCCGATCCCATTCCATTTCGCTTTCTTAATGAAGCATGACCTCCTCTAAGCTTATCATTTGTACCTGAGATAATATGAATCCTCTCTTTTTTAGTGTTATACTTTGGGATTTATAAAGAAAAGACAAAGCTGGCTACCAGCTGTGTAATTTTAGGTCCTCAAGTCTTCATGACAATCATGTGACTTATGAGAGCCTGTGAAAACCATTATTTTCTTGACAAGATTTCTGTAATGAAGGCAGATATTAGCAGTTTTACAGAATTATTTCCCCCTTCAGACTTGCAGTAGTTATTTACTCTTTACTTTCTGCCCCAATTACTTTGTTACCAAATTAGATTATGGAAGACCATAAATTCTTTCAAATCCCTAAAGCACTATTCCACCTAAGATGCCAGTGGACCCTTCCATTGGAACCTCAAGGTGGATGGGAAGAAAAGAGGCTGTTAAAAATACAGACACCCACATTTTTAACAGCCTTTTTGGGTTTTTTTTTTACCCAAGACTTCTAAACCAGCACCTCTGAGGTTGGGTCCCAGGAATCTTTTTATCTTAAACATTATCTTTGGGTATTCCTTAAGTATTCTAAATAATATTGAATGACAATTGCCCTAAAAAAATATATGTAGTTCACGATTTCTATACTTTTAGGCCAACATCTAAAACAATTCGTATTTGGAAGCTCCATAACTGTAATGGTATGTTGACAATTTCATTCCTGAGGGCACCAGATGACTAAACCTATATCTTTCCCTATGTACAAAGCTTATTTGACTGAAAATATTACTAACTGTACAGTGAAGTCCCATAGGCATTAACTACTTTCTAACAAAGCTTGTCAGTTCATCTGGTGATGGAATGCAGAACAGCAAGACTCCATGAACTCAAGGATGTAATCAGAGACAAAGAGCATGGTATATAACTATGTAATCAAAACTTGCTAAATAAATTCACATTTCAGTTGTTTAATATTGAAAGAGACTCAATTTTGAAAAAACTAAGACTTTCTGTAGCAATTATTTACAACTTGAAGTAACTCTGTTTAAGGTGTTATTCAAGCACTAGTTTATTTGACTTAAAGTGTGAGCTGTACTAGTTGGAATAGTCACTAAAAAGCAAAAATGATTAGTAAATATTTAGTAATCATTTAGGGTAGCATTGTCAGATGTAATTAACTGTTCTTTAACTGATAAATAATTTAAATTAACTAACTAATTAACATAAGATTTGAAAATTTACATAACTGCTAAAAACAGTATGGGGAAAACTCATTGCATGAGATGACAGAAAAGTCCTTTCCAACTCTGATATTCTATGACACTATATTACTCAGTAGAAAAAATAAAAAGTGAAAATTTTATAAAGAATATGAACACAACTTTTCTTCTAAATGGTACATATAAAAATAATAAAGAGAAGCACACATAAAAAAGTTAATAATGTGTATTATTAACACATTATTAATGTGGACTTGTGGATGGATTTTACTTATTTTTCAATATTTTATACATTTAAGTAATTATCCATAATTAGCTTCATACAAATTTATATACATAGACTAAATAATACATTATGGTGAAAAGAGATTTTCAAAACAGGTAAGAATTGCTTTCATCTATTTTCCAAGCACTATGGCTTTGGGAAACCAAGTTAATATTAATGAATGCTGGAAGATAATAGTAGAGAGCTTAGATGGCAAATAAGTACTCTGGAAATAATAGAGGATCTGTGGAGGTAGAGAACTCTGAAATCAGTCTTGACCCTGTGCAGAATTTAATGAAGCATAAATTAAATCTATGCATATGGTAATTAAAGATGAAATCTCACATTAATTTAAAAGACTAGCTACCTGTTCACTGACGGCAGAGTGCAGGGAAGAGTGATCCTCAGTTCAATCAAGGTCAAAGCAAAAGACATGATGAATTGGATTTGTTTGATAAAAGCAAACTGCTTTTGTTGCTAGGATATTTGCTCCA